TTTAAGAAAAAAAAAAAAAAAAAAAAGCGAAAAATTCTACCTTTTATGTTCCTCATTACAATTACATGGATTTAAATCTAATTAACCAACTATGCTTTTACTCTTCTTCCTCTTACCCACATCATAAAAAATTGTGGCTGGAGAACCCGAAGTATTTTTTTTCTCAATGCCTGATTTCGTTTTTGTAGTGGAAACAGCTCTACCCTTGACATTTCACACAACAAAGTTGTTCGTTGCTCATTGGCTTTGTTTATTTCACGGGATGAATACAGAGTTTTTCTATGGGTAGAAAATGGAAATAGTTTTTCTGCGATTAGGCCCTCCGATATGGTGATACGTTGCTCTAGCTCTTCCAGTTCAACACGAAAACGATTTAATTCGAAAAAAGATGACTCATTATTAGTTTTTTTAATTCCCTTTAACACTCTTTTCTGATGTTGTAATCCCATTTCTTTTACCACTTGAATAGATGTTTCATTTAAGCATCTTTTTCTTTTTCCTGTTGAGAAATTATTCTTTGTGGACATAGTAACAACTGTCTCATCATTCGGTATAATAAAAGAAACATGTTTCTGAGAATGCACATCCCACAAAGCAAGGTATAGTTCATCTGGAACAAGAATAGTTTTTTTTTCTTTTTCAGTTTGAAATAAATAATCTAAAGTTTTTTTTTCTTTACTGAACAAAACTCCTGTTGAAACTGCCAAACACCTGGGTCCTTTCCTTTTACTTGGGTTCATTAAGGAGAATAAAAAGTTTTCATCATTTTTTTTTTTATTCTTTTTTTTTTTATCAAAATCGTTCGATGATTTCCCCATAACATAAGATCGCGAAAGATGCTCTAAACGCTTCCACACTCCCCGATTAACGCATTTATGTTGTAAAACAAAACTTGAAAGTAACGATGATTCTATTCTACTTCTATTACAAGATGCAACAGATGCATGAGGAACCATGTGTCCCTTATCAAAATTCCTTCTTTGCATTTCCGTAGAGGTGACCCGAGCCTCTTCTGGGAGTGTTCTATCCATTAGACAAACGCAAAAACGGGGATACCGTCGTGCAGCTTTTACCTGACTTTGGGTAAGATAAAAACCACACCATAACGGCATACGAAGTTTGGTATCGTATAATAAAGCATAATTAGATCGTGAAAGTAGTAAAAGAGTATTCCTATTCTCTTCACTCGAAATATTAGTAAATTTCCCAATACCCATGAGTGCTCCCCTAGCGTTACGAAGGTGAAGAGGCTCCAACCACGTTGGATTACGAAATTTATAGCTCCAGAAACATCGTCCAGCTTCTATTACGAGTTTCAATTTCGGCCACAGCCACAACGCACTTGCAACCCCAGTAATGTAAGAGAGGGTGGCCAGAAAACCAACTGTGGCTGGGTCGCACGAATAAAAAATAGCATCAG